CTTGGCATTATAATTTGGTTAGGAGTACATTAAAACATAACATCTGTTCTATCGCTTTGTATCAAGTGCGACCGCATGAGACGCCTTTGATTACCTGGCAGCCTAGAAACTCTTGATATCAGAGGTCGCTACTCTCACATGAGTGGTAATAATGGTGAATAGAACAATTTTAAATAAATGTCGCAATATCTTACTTTATTACATCTCGACCTATTTTTTATAGTCAATTTAGATATTACTGGACCGAATCGAATTGGAGCCTTTGTTACTTAGGTATTACAGTGCGGAGACCTGAAGGCCGAACCCTGTGTTTAGATCAGGTAGTTTGTTTTTATGGTAGGCAAAATTATACAGTCTAGATAAGATAAATGGTAACATACTCATGGTTTGAGGATGTAAAATTAGTCACGCCTAAACTACACTTGTGATGTACGCAGAAGTATAACGCACTAAATTGGAGGGAAAGGGATTGTTAGTAATGCAAACTACCGGTCCCGTTGCTAGCAAGATACCCTGTCAGGTCGATTTCTATGTGGTTCCCCTGGAAACCATCAAGCCGGATTCCAGGTGACATCACGGTGGGCTAATTGACCTGTCTTTTCATTCTCACTTATCATCCCTCACTGGTGCAATGCCAGCGTATTTCATTGTCATTAAAAAAATGCCTACTAAAATTCTACCGTGTGTTTTTGAAGGCATTTTCTTCAACGTAGAATCACGCTTTGGAATCAACACCAGCAGTATTTTTGAACCGATACGACATCGTAACATTCAAGAGTAGAACATATTCCGTTTTAGTCGGTAGCACACTTGCAGTTATTTCAGTGGTGCGGGCTTATCATTAGGCGAGCCGCATGCTCGTTTGTTGTCTTTGTTATAAAAAAACTTAGATGATTTCTGTGGCGCAATAGTAAGTTCACAAACCAGGTCTTGGGTTTGCTTCTCGAACTAGGTTTATTTCCACCTCTTGGGTTGAGTCGTTTTTTTTTTTTTAAGGTTTGACAAAGTTAATTAACGCTGATTTGTATCCAAAATAATTAAATCTGATAAAATAATCTTATTACGAATTTCCTTTGGAAGTCATCTGATTATTATTATTATTTCTTATACAACTTAGAATGCCAAACAAGCTGACGGCCCACCTGATGGAAAGTAGTAACCGTCGCCTATAGACATAAGCAGTACCATGGACATAACAGAGTATACTGTTTTGCCCATGACACCCCCCATGCGTTGCTATTCTTAAGGACTCAGGTGTTATTCCTCTGTATCCTGTAAATTCCTAATATCCTACCCTTCAAACCGAAACACAGCCATGCAAACACAACTGCTTCACGGTAGAAACACGAATGGAACAGAGGTACCCAAGCAATCGACTATTGTACAAAGTCTCCCTCTGGTATGTCTAGTCAAAGTCTTATATGACTCTCGCTTCAATTCAGTATAATATATTGTAGATAATAATAGTAGAAATATCTCTTACTAGTTATCCGTCTTGGCTTTGTATGATTTTATAATAAAAGAAATCCGTTCATGATACTTACTAATAACGTAGAATTTTAAAGGTGATTTTTTTAAAATTGGTTACGTAGTTTTTAAGTTTATCCATTATGAACAAATCCAATGTTTCATCTTTATTAGTTTAGATAGAAATCATATCATGATTGCATGACATAACGTCCTTCCTTACTAAAATTATGAATGTGAAAGTATGTTTGTTTATTATCCCTTAGGGCTTTAGCTGCTCAAACAATGGTCATAAAATTAAACACATATTATACGTAGGTCGAAGCTGCGGGTAAAAAATAATATAATGTACTTTACAAGCAATACATACGAGTATAATAAAATCGTAACTGATCGCTGTCTGTACATGGAAGATATATAAGAAAAACTATTATGCTTTATGAACGCAATAGAACCTAAAACAATTATTTTTGGAATTTTTGTCTGTTTGTCTGTACATTTGTGCACACTAAACTCTGAGAAGGTATAAACGATTTAAATGTGGTTTTCACTAAAGCGTCGCGTTTTACTCCACTTAATATTTAGTGTTTGTTTTATTTCAATCGGTTCATAAATAAAAAAAAAAATATATCAATCTAAAGAGTCACATATAAAATGCTTTAAAATAAAACGATCAGTTAAATTGGCTAAAACATTTTTTATTACATGTATTGATTTTCGAAAATTCTGTCTACTCGTGCGGATCGCTAGTATCATAATACGAGTATATATAACTAAACTTACTTTTGTGTAAATAAATTTATTATTTGAAAGTATGCAATATTTTATTTCGTACAAAGTGTAAATGATACATGTTAATTACATTGATGTATAAATAACCTAGATATATAATTAGAGGTAAGTAATTAAAAAATAAAAAAAAAAATATATATATATATATATATATATATATATATATATATATATATATATATATTTAAAGATAAAAAATTTCTTCGAGAAAAAAATGTCTATTAAAAATATTATTAGTATGCAATTAATGCCGTATCCAAATGTCCTTTGAGGGAAGTCCTGTTGCTTGCTCCTTGTTGATTGCTAGTAGATACGAATTGCCAAGCACGTGTCCTGTATCGTTCATCATGTTTAATATACTACGCGGATCACATGTTTAATAACTTTATTATATTCAAATGTACATATTTTCACGTTAATATTTACAAAAAGAAGCAGATAACATCTAAATCAGTGAGATTTTTTTTTTCAAAAGCTACAAGGACTGAATGCAGAATATAGATTCGACGGTACAAGACTTACCTATTCTTTTTTTTTTAATACAGTTTGAAATTATTACATTAATAATTATTGTATTAATTGTTAAGTGCATCCTCTTGGATACATATGTTTTTGCTCTTACAGTTGCAGTTGTGCTTTCATGGCTATGATTTTTTTCGATGCGTGAAAATGGTATGGTAACCCCGCCTGTGCTAACGGGATACGCTGGCGGAGCACCAGTGAAGGGTGATAGATGAGAATGAAAACAGGCCAGTTAGCCCATCATGATGAATTCATCAGGAATTAACCATGATAGTTTCAAGGGAGAACCACGAGGAGATCGACTTGGTTAGGTATATTGCTAGCAATGGGATTCTCAGTTTCCATTACATTTAAAGCATTCTTTCGCAACTAGTAAATTGTTTACCATCTGTGTGGTCCCGGCATAAAATAGGCTACCGCTTTCTTTCCTATGGATGTCGTAAAAGGCGGCTAAAGGAACTTAATGGTAGAGGGATGAGCAGCAGAGCCCCTTTTAAAACATCTCTAAAAGCCTAACTGCGGTTAGCAATCCGCCTGCTAAGTGTGGCAACTACTGGCAAAACTACCCTTATGAGAAAGGTTGGATAGTTAATGGCTAAAATGATGAAATTGTTATATATACGTGTACATTTTTGCTGTTTTTTTTTTTAGCAGAAATAGCTTGTCCAAAACTCAACATGTATATTAGACATGCCAAGTGAGATCCTTTTGTTAAGCAATTAGGTTTACAATACAATGTCGAAATCAGTTTTTGTATGAGAAACACGTGTACGACTCAATATTATAGCTACATATATGTATTATAAAGAACTTTTTATAGATTTTCGTACAATTTGAGGCTATCTAGATTCTTCTAAATTGGACGTGTTAAAAAGTAAAAAAATTGTAAAGATATTGCGTAACATAGATATACAAATTCAAAAAGGGTAGACGACGTTAAACTATGTTTTAATCGCTTTAAAATATGGTTTTTATTGATTAAGGATCACATTGATCGATGGTTTTTATTTATATACACATATAAATGTTAAATCATGGATGATCCATATATTTATATATTACCGATTCCATACGATGTCTTTGTATAATTTACAGGTAATAATTATTAAAATTCAAGATTGTATTCCACAATGAAACTGATTTTAATTGTGACAAAACCGGTTATTTTAATTTAAAAACTCAATTACTGAACCGATTTTGATAAAATTTCTATGAGAGTAATATATGCTTTTAAATAAACAAGACTTTCAAATTGGTTTATAAATGACGGAGTAATGAAGTAAAAAATATAACTAACTTGAGAACGTTGTTCTTTAGGTTGATATTTTAAAGTTATGTGTTACATAAGATTCTGTGTGGCTCGTCTTCGTTATAGGATACTGACGACGAACCTCTTCGACTTTAGCGAAGATAATGTTGAATACTGAAGAAGCAAAAGTCAGCGTCAGTAACAATCACAAAAGAAATGATTTGGAGCATATACGCTGCGGTTGAAAATTAGCATATGGGCATATACTGATTTTCCACCGCAGCGCACTTGTTTCTTTGTACATCTTTCATTTTATGACTATTAGTTGAATGGTTGAGAGTGCAGAGGTCACATAAAAACACTGGGGGAAAGGTTAATGGGGTCAGCTGCATTGCTTTGCTAGCATTATCTCATATCAGGACGACCTCCATGCCGTTTTTCCTGTAAACCATCGTGATTTATTTTTGTGGAATTTGTCACGATGAGCTAACTGATCTGCATTCATCTTCACCTATCTTCTCTTACTGGTAATCCGCCAACGCATACCGATAGCGCAGGCGGGATTACCATTTCATTATCACCTATTAAAAATAAAAACGTTCATTTTATCATTTAAGTTACTAGTACGATTTTTTTTTTATTTCTACGACATAAACAAAAACAAAATCTTTATAAAGACAATGGTACAAAGTCAAATAGTCTATATCGACTAACGAATGAAGTTTTATAAAGAAATCCTATACAAACATTGAATTATGTCTATATTTAATTAATAAATTAAATAAAAATTAATCAATAAATTAAAAACAATATGATTCATTATCATCATCGTCATATCAGCCGTTGTCCATTGCTGAACATATGTCATCCCCTGGGGGGGTTTACCAATAGTTGCCACGCTTGGTAATTCAAATTCCTTTAAACAATAATGTTATTATAAATTGTCTTAATCACTTCTTTATTGTTCCAGATCGATTTGAAATGACCATTGAATTACTACAAGAATAAATATAAAACAAGAGGATATTATAATAGGTACGTATTTACTGCTTGTTTATTGTAGGCGTCATTGTATAATATGCGAGGATGACTAGTATTCTCTGTCAGAAAAGTAGGCTCTCTAGACAAGTGGCAAATATGATTTCGTTATCATACGCATAAGAAAGAATTATAACAGCAGTCAGAACCGACGTTTTGTCTCGTTCATTTCAAATTGTTTGTTTATTTCAAATTGCCATTATTACTGTATGTTTTAGTGCAAAAAAAAAATGTTTATCTAATTATGTAGGTCTTTAAATATATAGCACCTGCAGTATCAGTATATGGTGTAATAACGTTTGAAAAACAGGTTGGTAGATTTCCCAACTGACAATATTTTTAAATTTATAAGCCTTTAATAACTTTTAGAACTTTAAGTACCAAGTGAATACTAATTTGTTATTATGATACAATTTCAGCAAAATGCCACGTCTAGAGCAGCCTCCGCCCGAAGACTTCCGCCGAGTGCTCCGCGAGAAAGCACTAAGTCACAGCCTGTTCTATTTGAAGCTCGGCGCAGGAGTAGCACCGGAACACGCGCGGGAGCCGACGCTACCACCACGCCGGTCTAGCACCAGTGCGGTTGCGCGCGCGCCGACGAATGGCCGCGTGCCCAGACATGCGCAGCCCCGTGTTTCCGAGCTACTCAAGCGGTTTGAACCAGGTCCGATGCAGTATTTACGCCCACCGCGGGCCAGTTCACCCCAGGAAGACATATCCTCGTCGGACGATGACGACAGAGCGGCCGTCAGGCGACGAAGCCGCGATCTGAGTGACGACTCCGCTGTGGAACTCGACACGCGGAGGAGGCATTCCCACCCGAGGGATATCACGCCGCCCCCAGATGTTATGTCTCCTAGAAGGGAGAGAACCTTGGTCGAAGCTCATGTGGTGGAGCTAGGCCGGAGGGGCAGCGAGGGCTGTGAGACCAGAGGCAGATGTGTCAGAACTCCTAGCGTGGTGGTGAGCGATTACTCCGATGGGGTGGTGGCAGTGGGTGCGACCGAGGAGGAGGTGGATTGGCTCAGGTCAAGGTCTCTGTCTGCCGACTCTGCTTGTTCGTCATGTTCCACGCTGTCGAGTCGCGAGGATGACGAGTTCGAGTCACCGACTATGACAAAAAAGGTATGTTTTTTGTTTTCATATTTTTTCTCATTAACATTCACGCTAGACGGAAATACAGTTAGAAAAAGTGAGACTTATTATATGCAGTGTGTTTGTTCCGTCATCGCAAATAGCTGGCGATTAGAAAAATAAATAAATCACAAGTCCTCGACCTATTGCAATGTACATTACCTAACTATTGAAGATTTACCATTTATAATAATATATTTATTTGTTTTTCAAAAAATGTATTCCTGTAATTTAATAAATTATAAAACTGATTATTAAAAAAAGAATCGAGTAAACAACCAATTATTATCAGAGAAATTCATGAAATGCTTATCAGCTAAATACATAAGTACATATTTATATATACTTTATTGTTAGGTAAATAAGGATCAACTGTGTTTTTTGCTATTTTAGTTAGGTATTTTAATAAAATTTACAACCGTAAAAGCGAATAATGAAATGCGTAGTGCTATTTTAATTATTTTAAATTTATCAAGTACGCATTATGGTTGTAAACGTCGGCGTAGGTATTTAGAATTTTATTCGGGGGGGGGGGGGGGGGTTGGGCTTTGGAATAGGCACCTGATGATTCTGGAATGGGCATGCTCATATTGATAATGCTCACATTCAATTATGGAATGATAACACCGCCTTCGCTAACGGCATACGTTGACAGGGCGCCAATGAGAGATGAGAGGCAGGCAAGCAATTATCTCATCGTGATGAATACATCTGGAATCTAGGAGGGACTATGTGGAGGCGACCTGACAGGGTATATTGCTAGCAATGAGATTAGTACTCCTCATTACTAACAATCCCTTACCCCTGTACTCCATATATTGCCCACACCACTTGTACCCACCGCAAATTTATGCATTCACGAAATATCATGTACTTATACTTTCTTTTTACTGTAGTAGGCGCGGTATTGTGTTTATTAGTCTTTAAATTATTTATAATTAGCGATTCATCCCGGCTTTGCTCGGGCACATTGTATCACATCACATTACATCTTTCTTTTTATTGTTGACAAGTGTCTGACATTTTTGATGTATTTTTTTTATATAACATTTCGAATTTTATATATATTCTTTATTGCACAAAAACATACAGTAACAACAATAAGTTAATAACAATGTTAGCAAAGGCGAACTTATCTCTAAAAGAGATTTCTTCCAGTCAACCTAACGCAGTGGCATAGGAAGTAGTGAGTGGGCAGTAGTAGTGCAAGACAGAAATTTAAATAAATATTTACATAAATTATAAATAATTATATATATACACACATACATTCACATATATACATACATACACATACACATATATATACATATACACATACATATACACACATACATACACACGTTAAATACAACATATAAATATCAGATACAAGAGAACACAATGATGACAGTCTTCTAATCATTTTTATATTTAAATTAAATTGGAAAGATAAAATGATTTTAATCTTTTTTTGAAGGAACTGCTAGACGGGCTATTCTGAATGTTCACGGGAAGTTTATTCCACAGCTGTACAGCACGATATGCAAATGAGTTACCCATAAAATGGGTTTTAATGACTTATTTAACATTTATTCTTATTAAGTTTTAATATTTTCATGCCTAATTATGGCGAAATATGAGGACTTATACTTATTGTAACATCTATACACTTACCATGTTTCTTATAAATAAATAAATTAATTAATTAAAAACCTCTAAAATTATCAGTGTTACATATAAACTATCTATTAAAAAAAAAAAAGAAAATCCGTTGCGTAATTTTAAAGATCTAAGCATACATAGGGACAGACAGACGGGAAGCGATTTTGTTTTATACTATGTAGTGAAGTGCACAGGTAGGTTGATATTTCGAATATAGAATAGAATTTTTTTTTGATGGGTGAAAATGGTATGGTAACCCCGCCTGCGCTGATGGGATACGCTGGCGGAGCACCAGTGAAGGGTGATAGATGAGAATGAAAACAGGCCAGTTAGCCCATCATGATGAATTCATCAGGAATTAACCATGGTAGTATAGGGAGATCCGCGAGGAGGTCGACCTGGTTGGGTATATTGCTAGCAATGGGATTCTCAGTCTCCATTACTAACAATCCCTTTCCCCCCTATAGAATAGAATTGATTACAAACAATTTTTGGAAAATACAAATCTTTATTCTTACAAAAATGGAGCTTATGGTGAATCAATGGGTATTAAAATATCACCAAATGCCGAACTGCAGTTGCCAATCCGTCTGCCAAGGGTGGCCCAAAACCCCCCTTTATGGTGGAGGCTATGTTCAGCAGCAGCCAATTAACGGCTGATACAACGACAAATGCTTATTAATATTATAAATGTGAAAGTGGGTTTGTTTGTTTATTGTCATCTTATAGTGTCTAATGGCTTGACTAATTATTATGAAATTTGGTCCCTAATTAAATACACAAAAGTCTATCTGCAGTTTGCCAATTCAGCCATGCCAAAACCAGTAATTTTGATTTAAGGAACTACTGTACCAATTTTGATGTAATTTCTATTAGGCCTGTTGTATATCAATCATTCTGTGTCAGTGTTTTTCTAGAACCTCCCTCACTTTTATAAATTTATATTATTATTATTATTTCAGCCGTTATCTGTCCATTGCTGAATATAAGCCTTCCCAAAAGGGGAGTTTTACCAGTAGTTTTGGTACTGCTCTTGTCTATAGGCGACGGTTACCACTTTCCATCAGGTGGACCGTCAGTTTGTTTGCAATTCTAAGTTGTATAAAAAAAAGCTGCCACGCTTGGCAGGCGGGTTGGCAACCGCAGTTAGGTTAACTTTATATGGATAGAGCTATTATTAGGTATGGTACTAATGTACAGTCTGTAATACTTGCAATACTTGGTTTACAATAAAAAAGTCATGATTAATTTGTGCTGTTCTAAGCTCATTTGATCTAAGAGTATACTTATAATAAAAAAATCCAAATCGGCCTTAATAATGACAGTGTTACTCGTAACAAGGATAAAATATCTCCTCAGGGGGAAAGGGATTGTTAGCAATGGAGTTTGACAGCCCCATTGCTAGCAATATGCCTTATTAGGTCGACCTCTACGTGGTTCTCCCTGGAAACCATCGTGAACAATTCTTGTTGAATTCGCCACAATGGGCTAACTGACCTACTTTATCCTCACCTATCATTCTTCACTGGTACCCCGCCTGTGTATACCGATAGCGCGGGTGGGGTTACCATTCCATTATCATTCATTAAAAAAAAAATCTCCTCATTTTATTGAAGTTGGTTAAAATATACTCATCTCGTGTTAGGTATATTCCATACTTTCAATACAAGGTAATAGGTGCTTGACTATAAATTACATTGAAGTGGACGATTTGTTTACATTATAGCAGTGTTCGAGATTCATTCAAATTCACCATTAAATCAGAATTAATCGAGTAAGATGTAAACGTCAACACTTGTGTAAACAAATCGTGGCTTTGTTAATATAGAGAATCAGGTCAGGTATTTAATGATCTAATAATAAAAACAATACATCCACGCGTTCCTCAGATCAAGTAAATATTGACATTTACGAGTCCAGAGACGTGATAAATCTAATATGCGGTACTTTCTTTCTATATATATATATATATGATAAATTGTATTAAAAAAAATCAACATCAATTGAGGCAATACCAGTTATTTTCAAAATTTCCGATGTTACAACTAAATTACTGAATCAATTTTGATAAAATTTCTATGGTTATGGTACGGTATTATATGGTACTATGTATATCCTTTAAGATAAACTTTCTGGCGGAGTTATGAGAAAATAAACATAAAAAAATACAAGTTGAGAACCTTTTTCTTTTTGAAGTCTGTTGAAAATGGGTTATGATTGTTTTTCATAGTAAACATTATTTAATAGAAGCATTAGGAATTTTTTTTGGCTTAAAATGGAATGAAACCCCGCCCGAGCTATCGGTACCATCATATCATATAGGTATCGGCGAGGCGTCAGTGAGAGATAATAGATGAGGATGAAAGCGAGTCATTTGGTCCATTCTGATAAATTCAACAAGATTCAATCACAAATGTTTCCAGGGGAAATGGCATGGTGGTCGACCTGGTAGGGTATATTGCCAGCAATGCCTGTTAGACCCTATTGCTAACAATCCTTTTCTCTCAGTATTAGGTATTAGAAGCGTGATGTGTTACCATTTTTAATAAATAACAATGGAATGGTAACGCTATATTGCTAGCAATGGAGATTTATGGTACATCACTATTACTTACAATCCTTTTACCCCCAGGATTAACCGTCAGGGCAGGAGGGGTCACTATTCCATTGTTCCATTTACACTCATCAAAAAGTACCCGTTTTTATAAAAAGAATTAACATAAATAAATATATAAACGTTTAAAAGGACCTATTTATTTATTTGTACAGCCACCTATCTATATTGTGCGTTTGTATATGAGTTTAAACAGTATAGTTAACGGCTTATTCATGGTGTAACTAATCTGGTAACGCTCCAGTTGTCACGGACACTGGGGCACACGAGTGACGGATGTTGACATCCGTTTGATTTTAGTTCTACTTACTTATTGTTACGTATCACTTTATTCTGTGTTTTATAATGTTAATATGACTTTTAATCGACTTCAAAACGAAGTAGGTTTTCAATTCGATTGTATATTTTTTTATGTTTGTTACTTCATAACTTTGTCAGTTGTAAACAAATTTAGAAATTTATTTTTTATCTGGATGAAGGATATCCTTACATATCGGTCCCATAGAATTTTTATCAAAATCGATTCCGTAATTTAGTGTTAAAATAAAAATAACTGGTTTTGGTATATTTAAAATCGTTTTGTTTTAAACGCAACCTTAATTATTTGAAGTACTTTTTCATGATATCATCCGTCCTGTATTCAATCAATTTATAAAATAGTTTACGAAATTTCGTCTCTCTTTCTGTTTGTTTGTTTCGGCATCACGTAAAAACTACTGCATCAAACTGAATG